GTGTGTGTGTGTGTGTCTGTGTGTGTGTGTCTGTGAGTGTGTGTGTGTGTGTGCACGTGTGCACGTGTGCGAGTGTGTGTGTGTGTGTGTGTGTATACCTGTTTTTCTATTCTGGTGTGGACTTAAACCTGACTCATGGGGACTCGTGTCACGGTGGGGACCTAAATTGAGGTCCCCACAGGTAAACATGCTTATAAATCACACAGAATTAAGTTTTTTGAAAATCTAAAAATGCAGAAAGTGAGGGGTAGGTTTAGGGGTAGGGTTGGTGTAGGGCAATAGAATATACGGTCTGTACAGTATAAAAAGCATCCCCACAAGGATAGCAAAGCAGACGTGTGTGTGTGTGTGCGCGGTCTCTCAGGAACGCTGCACTCTGCCTTGACCTTTCCAGCAGTAATGGTATTTTCAGGCTGTTTCTGTTCTCTCCGATCTATTTCAGAGGCGTTCATGCGATGCTGTCATACGCTGATCCTCACAGAGCATTGTTGTACAGTATGTGTGTTTCGCTGCATATGTTAAACCTTCTGTAGAGGGTCTAGGAATGGGACAGGGTCAGACTGTTTATTGTTAACATTTTCAATAATTGAAATCAAGCTGACATAAAATTAAATATAAATATTAGATGAAGAATTTGAAAATATATATATATATATATATATATATATATATATATATATATATATATATATATATATATATAAAAATTTTTTTATTTTTTTTTGCTTTGGCAAATAACTGAAATGAGTTTAAGAACTAAAATTACTAAAACCAAAACTGAATGAAATTTATGTGTGTTTCGCTGCATATGTTAAACCTTCTGTAGAGGGTCTAGGAATGGGACAGGGTCAGACTGTTTATTGTTAACATTTTCAATAATTGAAATCAAGCTGACATAAAATTAAATATAAATATTAGATGAAGAATTTGAAAATATATATATATATATATATATATATATATATATATATATATTTAAAAATATATAATTAAAGTGAGAAATTTTGCATTGACAACTAACTGAAAAAATACTAAAACTAAAAATGAAATAAAATAAATGAAAGCTAAATAGAAATAAAAACAAAAAAATCTAAAAGACAAAAGTACATAATAAAATTGCTAAACTAAAATTTCTTAATGGCTAAAACTAATTTTAAGATAATAAAAATATAAATAAATAAAAAGCTAATTCTAAATATGTGTACGATTACACGTAATTATTTGAAATATAAAAATGTTGATAATTGAAATAAAGCTGAAATAAATTTAAATATAAAAATTGGATAAAAAATTTAAATGAAAATGAAAAATGTTGATTTGGCAACTAACTAAAATTACTAATATTAGAAACGAAATAAAAATAAATTAAGTTCAATAGAAATATAAAAAACAAACAAACTAAAGACAAAATAATAATTTTCATTAACTGAAGTAACATTAAAATAAAATATAAAATAAAAGATGAAAAAAATTAAAAACTGAAAAAAAAGTGAAAAATTATTAAAAAACGTTTGGAGTTAGGAACGTTACTAAATTAC